TACCGGAAAAGGAATACAAATTTAAACTAAATTCCTTGGATGCTCAGGGTCCCTCTCATTCTCTATCTCTGAGAAGTGACCACATCTCTGTCTGTGGAGCATTACTCCTTCTCTAACTCTGGCATGTGCTTGAATTCTTTCCTATGCGTAGTCAAGGACCCTCCTTCTCTAGGTACAAGACTTGAATCCCCACTTGAGGGGCTTCACCGTGTCCTACATCATCTTTGCATCGTGTCTGTGGCTGATTTTTGTGCTACAGCTGCAGAGTTAAATAGGTGCAACAGAAACTATAGGGGCCAAAAAGCAAAAAATGCTTACTATCCAGTCCTTTACAGAAAAAGCTTACCAACCCCTCATCATCTGAGTTTCTTGTTTGTTTAAAAAAAAAAAAAAAATCAGCAATTCTGATGCAGAAGCTGATCTCAATGTTAAAGCAAAATTGAAACACAACATCCTCTATCTTTTGCTAGAGAGACCAATCACATCTTCGCACTTTTTTCGACAGATATTTAAAAAAAGGTTTATTTACTTTAAACTACCTTTCTCAAAATATAATTTTTTCTATGTAAATCAACAGAAATCAGGTACCTGTTTTCTGGGCAGAAACTTCAGGAGTTAAAAGGGCAGGACTACCCTGAAATTTTGTGCCAGAAATTTCTGGAGGTGTGCTATTTTTCCTGGAGATTTCTTTCCATAATGGTGTTAGAAGTTTAGCCTAAAATATAGTACTTTTTAAAAAGTGTTGACATTCATAACCACTCAAGTTATCAAAAAATGCCACATTTTCAATATCCTTTTAAAAAATTTAAGTATTGGATTTGCTTGATTTGAAACTATAAGAACTCAGAGTTGGAAGCACATTAGGTCATATATCAATTGATAATTCTAAATCAAAAATTACAGTAAAATTCTCAAAGTAAAATTCTCACAGCAACAGCACTACCTGGGAGCCTGATGGAAATGCACATTTTCAAGCCCCATCTATGATTTACTCAATCAGAGACTATGTGGACAGGACCCAGCAACCTGTGTTTTCACAAGTCTTACTGGTCATTCTGACGACCACTAAAGTTGAGAACCACTGCTCTAAATCAGGAGTTAGCAGACTACAGCTCACTATCTGTTCTGATAAATAAAATTTTATTGGAGTACAATACACTGACTCGATTAGGTGTTTTCCATGGCCGTTTTCATGCTACAGTGGCACAACTAAATAGTTGCCACAGAAACCATATGGCCCACAGAGTCTAACATATTTACTCAATGAACCTTTACAGAAGTCTGCAGACCCCAGCTCTAAATTATTCTCTTATACCCCAACACAGAGAAGTATGGAAATTTGTATAAAGTCACTAAAAATCAGCTAAAAATCAGCATGGACTTCTTATCACTTGCACAGCTTAAATTCATGAATTCTCAAAGCTTTTGATGTTTCTTTGGTGCTCATTTAAAATAAAAGATGTATTTACTAAAAACAGTTCTTTTGGTCTATTTCTAACTAATAACTCATAATTTCAGTTTGAACTCTTCAACAACTATTTGGGTACTTCTCTGTCTCACAGGTTTAACCTATACACTATCTTTGTCACTACAGAACCCAAGAGCACTTAGATTCACAGAGGGCAACAATCCTTGGGCTGATGGAGGAGGGCAGGTGGGAGGCATAACTAACTATAACTGGAGCACTAAACACATTGTTACTGATTACCTCAGAATGCCAGCATCCAGATAGGGCAGGTCCCATTCAACAGGAAACAAAAGCCCACTCCTAGGAGAGCTAATTCAGCTATAGGGGAAAACTAGGCTTTGAATTGATCTGGAGGACCCTCATATTCACACTCTTAACTACTTTGCTATAAAACAAGGATAATTGAAGGGAATTAAGAAACTTTGAGGGTTACTCAATATTTATATAAGCCTAAAGGCACTTCAACCACTTACAAAATAAAGATTTAAATGTTTAAATCATTAAAAGCCTTGGATGTAACATGTCAACAAACTGAACATTAATGGAATTAAACCAAGAAGTTTATGTTGAAAAATCCAAGAGAGCATACACTTGTAGCAAATCAGAACAGCCCAGATTTTAAGCTCTGCTATAATAAACATCTTTCAGCAACATTTGGGAACAATGAAAAAAGGTCCTAAATCTTTACCCAAGATTTAAACTAAATGTTTAGAAGTCTTTGCAGTTTCTATTGACAGTGATTTACATACCAGTAAACCACTGCTTTGTTATTCTATGCTTAAAAGGAGTTTGTTTCAGAAATAAATGCAGTTTGTCCCTAAACAGATCTACTTTGTGTCTTGCTAATGCCATAAGGGCACAGAACAGCCCCAATAAAATTTACTTACTTGGTCTTTCTCATGGTCACTGCCAGGACTGAGAGAGAAAGGTGGCAAGACTAAAATGAAAGGAAATAAGTGTATAATGGATAAGTTTACTTATGAGAAATACAAAAACTCATTGATCCTTCTCCCAGTAATACACACCCAGGCTAGAAGCCATTCCCATTTCTTACAATTGGCTCAAATGTCTAGCTCTTAAGATCCCTTTCTAATTATTTAACTGTTTTCTTCACGACCCAGCATGAATTCTCTGCTCTAGATCATGTCCCTGAATGCTGCCCTGGCATCCTCAATTTGTCCTTGTAGTACTACCTCACTTAGAATGCTCCCTCTTCACCACACCTCTTCAAATGCTATTCTTTTTCCAATGAAAAGCTCAAGTCCTACCCACCTCTTCCCTGAAGCTTTTCCTGATGATTCCAGCTCATATTGGATTCCTCATAATTCCTACTCCATTTATCTATAGCTCATATTTAACAGTTATTGGCCATTTTCATATTCTTTTGTACTGTTTCATGTCTGTACACTTTGTCATTCCAATGTGTAGCAGAAAAGGGGAATCACATGAGCATACTTTTCTTTGGTACCCTCTCTCCTCACATACAGAAAAATAAACATCTGACTTATTTGAAAAATGACTTGAAAAAAGACATGCACCAAACTTACTTTTTATGTTACTTCTGGTTCTTGTCTTTTTCCTACCAGGATATGGTTTTAGGTATTTCCTTTTTTGGTTATTGGTCCAAGATAGTTCACTGGTACTACTACTTGAATCTTGATTACTCTCCGAGAAGAGGTGTTTCCTGTAATGAGACTTCTACAAACATAGATAATAAATGAGAATTATTAAAGGGTGTTAATACCCTTTATGTACAATTAAACATATCACTACGAAATTAAACAAAAGAGAAGTAGCTCCTTCTAGAAGACAGGGTCTTTTACATAATAAAAAGGCAAGGGAGTAAGGAAGGGAAGACAACAAAGAAACAGATTATTCCCTTAGTCAATTCTCAACCAAGCTGCTGTTGCAAAGGATGACAAATGTTCTAATGAAGAGATGCTAGGTAACTGTTCAAAAGCTGATGAACTTTAACATCATGTCAACACTTACAACTTCAAAATACTAACCTAAACGACAAAAGAGAGTATAAGACTAATTTTTGCAAAGACATGTTTGTCAACATTTTAGAGGAAGTAAAATAAAAACAAGAGAGTTATTTCTATTTAAACCTTAAATCCTTTTGAAATTGAACCTGGACTACAAAGGTTAGATTTTTTTAGGGCAAATTTAACCTATTCTGGTGGATTATTCATCTGTACATTGATATTTATATTTTAAATCTTTATGGTTTTGGATGCACTTTTATAAATGCCATTAACAAATAGATGTTTATGCCCAATTTTAATATGGAATGTTTCGATTTTAACAAAACACATACTCTATTTGAGCCCTGTCTGCTGTGCCCCTCCGGTGGCCCACTCCTATTCTGCCATGCTTCTACAGGGGCTCCACCATTCAGCTCGTGACAGCTCCTTCTCATTTCACACCAGGGAGGATTCTCATGAATCCAACTGTATTAAGTGGTAACAATATCTCACAAACTCTTTTCAAACTGACACATATCAGCTAGAAGACCAACCCTGTGCCTGGAATGGCAAAGAGCAGAATCAGCTTAGAGTGAAAACCAGAGTTGCCCTTATTAATGATAGCACAACCCATAAATTTAAGGTAGGTGATGGTGAAATATCTATTTTTCAAATGAATTTATTTTTAAAGACCCAATTTAAAATATTTAGCAGTTCAACATTTTGTAGAAAAGCTTATTTTTTGAAAGGAATTTTTTGAGTCATGCCTATCTGCACCTTACTCTAATGAGAAAAATAAAAAAGGTTGGGGGGACCCCCAAATTTGTTCCAGAGGTTCTCATCACTTCATTTAATGCACCCAATTTTAAAAAATTACACAGCAAGTCTTGCCAGCTTCTTTAGTTTTATACAAAAAGGTGTTAAACGTTATTTACAAAAAACACAAGTACCCAAGGCAGTTGTTTTTAAATTTGGCTCCATATTAGCATCACTAGGAGGGGGCCTTAAAAAAAATCCTAATATCTGGGGTTTATCCTGGACCAAGTAAGTCACATTTGCTGGGGAAGGGATCCAGGCTTCAGTAGTTTCATCAGCACCCCTGGTGATTGTGAGGCAATGGAGAATGAGAACCATTGCACAAAGAGCCTAACTCATTTGTTTGAAGCTCATGTTCTCAAACTTTTTGAAATTCCATTTAATGTTCATTACAGAGATTTCTTTTTAAATACACTGACTGAGGGCACTGATCTTCCCAAAGTGGCAGGCAAACTGGAAAAATGTAAGTTGGAGCACACAGGAACGAAACCATGCCACTGACTCAGAGTGAAAAAAATTTCAATTAATTTACCCTTCCACTTCCATTCAGGATACATCTCAAGTACTAGTAGGTCCTTAAACTTCTGTTCTGCTCACTGATCTTTGAAAAAGCAAGACTGGGCTTTAGCCTCAAAGACTAAAAGCACAGTTCGACGTAATAACTTTGTTATTTCCCATTGTATTTATTTGGGGGCTTACCTACTATTTGTTACAACTAATGCTGATTTTCCATTTGAAAGTGAAACAATTCCTTTTAAAATAAGTTTAATTGAGAAAAACTGAGATAAAGAGTGATGACAAGTTTCAAAGATGATATGCAAATAACTAAAATTTGGGAAGTATTATCCCAAAAACAATGAAAGTTAATTTCATTACCGACATCCTTGTTTCTTGTTTTCTGTCACCTTTGAAAGTAGAATCTTTCCTAAAACAAAATATCAAATTAATGGAACTGTACCACCATCACCTTCTCCTTCCCTCACTTCACAGCCCTCTTTTATCCTTCATGTGCCCTTCGACCAAAGTAAACCCAGCACACGGGAAGTACCCTATCCCACAAACTTCCCCCCTCCCTGGCTTTATTAAAGTAAACAATTAGTTGCTTGTATTTGCATTGTACAATTCGATGTTTTTTTTTTTCAGTTATAGTTGGCATACAATATACCAGTTTCAGTTCTACAGCATAGTGATCAGAGATCCACATAACTCACAAAGTGATCACCCCACTAAATCTAGTACCTCTTTCCCCCTTACATATTTATTAAATTATTAACCATCTTCCCCATGCTACACTCTACATCTCCATGTCTATTCTGCAACTATCCTTTTGTATATCTTAATCCCTTTGCCTTTTACTTCCATCTCCCCAACACCCCTCCCATCTAGTAGCCCTCAGAATATTCTCTGTATCTATGAGTTTATTTCTGCTTTTGTTGTTGTTTTGTCCCTTGATTCCACATGTAACGTGAAATCATATTTGTTTTTTTCTATCCAACCCATTTCATTCAGCACAATACCCTCTAGGTCCATCAAGGCAATATCTCTTTCCATCCCCTTCCTTTTAGTCTGTGTGTGTCTTTCAATCTGAAGTGAGTCTCCTGTAGGCAGCATATGTAGGGGTCATGTTTTCTTATCCATTCAGCCACTCTATCTTTTGGTTGGAGCACTTAATTCGTTCCATTTGTGATACCTGTTGACTAGAAATATAGTTATTACCATTCTTTATTCTTGTTTTTGATACATTTTTTTTTCTGTTTAAAGAAGTCCCTCCAACATTTCCTGTAATACTGGCTTGGTAATGATAAATTCTTTTAGCCAATTTTTGTCTGGGTAGCTCTTTATCTGTCCTTCAACTCTAAGTGATAGCTTTTCAGGATAAGGTATTCTTGTTGTAGATCCTGGGTTTTCATCACATCGAATATTTTGTGTCAAGCCCTTCTGTCCTGCATAGTTTCTTTTGAGAAATCAGCTGCCAGTCTTATGGATGCTCCCTTATTAGGTAACTAATTGCTTTTCTCTTGCTGCTTTTAAGAATTTTCTCTTTGTATTTAACTTTTGGCACTTTATGACGTGTCTTGGTGTGGGCTTCTTTGGGTTCCTCTTTCTTGGGACTCTCTGAGCTTCCCAGGGTTGTATGTCTATTTCCTTCACCAGGTGAGGGAAGTTTTCCATCATTTCTTCAAATAGCTCTTCAACATCTTGTTTTCCTTCACATACCCCTACGAAATGGATATTTCTACATTTAATAGTATCTCATAGGCTCCTTAAATTATTATAGTCTTGGCTTCTTTTTTCTTGCCATTCTGATTGAGTGTCCTTGGCTTCCCCATCCTCAATATCAGGGACCTGTCTACATTTAATAGTATCTCATAGGCTCCTTAAATTATTATAGTCTTGGCTTCTTTTTTCTTGCCATTCTGATTGAGTGTCCTTGGCTTCCCCATCCTCAATATCAGTGACTTGATCCTCTCCTTTATCTACTGATTCCCTCTAATACACTCTTCATCTCAGATAACATGTTCTTCATTTCTAACTGGTTCTCTTTTATAACTTCCATTTCCATTTTTATGTTTTTTATCTCTTTGTTAAAGTTCTCACTGAATTCATCTATACTTCCCCTAAGTCCACTGAGCATCTCTATAACCAGTGTTTTGAACTCTGCATCTGTTAGATTGCTTGACTCCATTATTCCTGGATTTATGTTCTGTTTTCTCATATGGTTTCTGCTTCTTTGTCTTCCCATTTTAGCTACCTTTCTGTGTCTGTTTCTATGTACTCAGCAAAGCTCTTAAGTATTCCGGTCTTATTAGTGTGGCTTTGTGTAGGTGTGTCCAGTGGCACAGTCCTGAGAGAGGTTTAGCTGCAGGCCAAATTTAGCCCCACCCTGTGCCCCTCTGGGGCCATCTGTTAAGATTCAGCAAGCAATCCACAGATGCTATGCTTATAGTTACCTCAAGAAACCACACCAGTAACGGAGGCCAGCTGCCATTAGTGTGAGTCTTGGTGCTGCTCAGCAAGGAGCACAGGACTCTCCAAGGACACACCTGGATGTGACTTCGGTGGGGCTGCGAGTTGGGGGAGGCAGTTTCAGGGAATCCTCTGGGCAGAGCGACCTGTTATCCAGTGTGATGACATCTCCACTATGGCGGCGCTGTTTCAGCACACTAGGAAGGGGCGGGCTCAACAGAGGAACAATGGAAACAGCCAGCACTTCTGTCTGGGAGAGATCCTCACCTCTGGCCCTCACTCCGACAACTCAGTTACCCCTGTACATCCCTGATGCCCCCAGGCAGCCGACCGGGCACTGGTGCTCAGAAGAGAGCAGGTCCGTCATAACGAAAGTCCGCTCATGGACACAGCCCCTTTAAGAGGCGTCTACCGCCGCCTCAGCCTCTGTCTCACTCAGCTGCTCAGGACTGGGTGGCCTCTCATTCTCGCCCTATCCTACCTCCTCCCATTGAAGGATGATTTCTTATTTCTCTCCCTAGTTGTAGAGATTGTTCATCTAGATCCCGGGTGACTTTTTTTTGCTGTTTGCTCCATGTTTCTCTCACAACTTTGATTTGGTCACAAGAGCCTATATCGTCTATGCCATTTTTTTTTTCTTGCTCTCGACAAACTTCTTATCTTACAATCTATTTCCAAAGATCCTCTGCCTTTTGTTATTTAAAACAAAAACAAACCTTTGTTGAACTCTTCTCTGTCAGGCATACAAAGAAGAGGAAGGCAGAGTGAGATCAGCAAGTAAGCAGAGAGCTGTGACAAAGCTGCAGAGCAGTGCTTCTTGTTGGGCTCTACCTTAGAATCAACTGGGGTGCTAAAAATTTCCCTGATGATTTCTTTAGAAAAATGTCTATGCAAATCCTTTCCCCATTTTTTTAATCAGGTGAGGTTTTTTTTGGGGGGGGAGGGGTTCTTTTTTTGTTTGTGTGTTTGAGGGCTTTTTTCTTTTGCTGCTGAATTGTAGAGGTTCCTTACATATTTTGAATAATAACCCCTTTTTATTGTTTGCTATTATTAAAACAACAAACTAAGTGTTGGTGAAATGTGGAGAAATTGGAACCCTTGCATACTGTTCATGGGATTGGGAAATGGTGTAGCAACTATAGAAAGCAGTTATTAAAAAAATTAAAAATATAGCTACCATATGACCCAGCAATCTCACTATTGGCTATTTAACAGAAGAAATCCAAAACACTAATGCAAACAGATGTATGTGCTCTGTTCATTATAGCATTATTCACAATAGCCAAGATATGGAAGCAACCTAAGTGTCCGTTGATAGACGACTAGATAAAAAAGATGTAGTACATACATAAAATGGAATATTACTTGGTCTTTAAAAAAATGAAATCTTTCCATTTGTGACAACATGGATGGCTCTAAAGGGTATTATGCTAAGTGAAATAAGTCGGCAAGAGAAACACAAATACCATGATTTCACTTATATGTGGAATCTAAAAAACAAACTAACAAACAAAACAGAAACAAATTCATAGATATAGAGAACGAACTGATGGTTGCCAGATAGGAGGGAAGTTGGAGAGCTAGGTGAAAAAGGTGAAAGGATTAAGAACTACAAATTGGCAATAACAAAAGTCACGGAGATATAAAGTACAGCTTAGGGAATATAGTCAATAATATTCTAATAACTATATATGGTGTCAGGTGGGTGCAAGACCTATCAAGGAGATTACTTCATAAGTTATATAAATGTCTAGCCATTATACTGTACACCTGAAACTAACATTGAATGTCAACTGTAACTGAAAAATAAAAAAATATTTTTAATGGTTAAGATGGTAAATTTTATGTTATATGTATTTTACCACAATTTTTAAAAATATAATTATACATTTTAAAATTTGCCTATTAGTCCTAGTAGCCGTTTTGTAGATTCTACTGAATTTTCTAGTTAGATGATCATGTTACCTACAGGTTTTCTCCTCACTTTCTGATAGGAATGCTTTTTATTTCTTTTTCTTGTCAATCATGTTGGTGGCTAGACTCTCAAATACAATGTCAAATAGAAGTAGAGGAGCAGATATTCTTGCTTCATACCTGATTTTAGGGAAAAGCATTCAGTCTTCCATTATTAAATGTTATTAGCAGTAGGTTTTTCACAGATGCCCTTTAACAAACTGAGGAAGTTCCTTTTCATATCTAGCTACCTGAGCATTTTTAATCAAGAACAGATATTGAATTTTTTCAAATACTTTTTCTGTGTCAACTAGGATCATATTTTTATTTTTGTTAACATAATGAATTACCTGATTTTTTACTGTTAAGTCAAACTTGAAATCCTGGGATTTTAACTATAAATTCCATTTCTTTAACTATAAATCCTATCAAAATATGGCTGGGCTACTCAGGTTATCTATTTTTTTCCTGAGTGTGTTTTGATAGTTCATGTCACTTAGAAAACTTCTCCATTTCATTAAAGTTGTGTTTTTTAGACATTCAGTTATTCCTAACACTCCCCTATTGACTTTTTAATATTTATAGAATCCGTAATGATGTCATCTCTCTAATTCCTAATATTGGTAATTTTTTGTCTTCTCTTTCTTCCTAATCACTCTACATAGAGGTTTGTCAATTATATTTATTAAAAAGAATAGTACCTAGGAATAAATTTAACCAGGGAGGTAAAAGAACTGTATACTGCAACTTATAAGACATAGATTTAAAAAAACTGAAGAAGACATAAATAATTGGAAATATATTCCATGCCAATAGATTAAAAGAATTAAAATGTCCTTACTACCCAAAACAATCTACAGATTCAATGCAATCCCTATCAAAATTCCAATGGCATCTTTCACAGAAATAGAAAACACTTCCTAAAATTTGTATGGAACCAAAAAAAGGCACCAAGTATCAAAAGCAATTTTGAGAAAGAACAAAGATAGAGACATCACACATCCTGTTTTCAAATTCTACCACGAAGATATGGTACCAGCATAAAAATAGGCACAAAGACCAATGGAACAGGTTCGAGAGCCCAGAAATAAACTCTCGCATATATGGTCAACTAATATTTAACAACAGAGCCAAGAATACTCAATAGGAAAAGAACAGTCTCTGCAATAAATAGTGCTAAGAAAATTAGATAACCATATGTAGAATGAAACTGAATCCTTTTCTTGAACAACTTACAAAAATTAACTCAAAATGGATTAAAGATTTGAATGTGAGACTTAAAACTATAAAACACCTAGAAGAAAACACATTAAAAAAGCTCCCTGACATTGATGTTCACCATGATTATTTGGATTTGACACCAAATGCACGAGCAACAAAAGCAAAAATAAGTGGGACTACATCAAATTAAAAAGCTTCTATATAGCAAAAGTAACTATCCATAAAATGAAAAAACAACCAACAGAAAGGGAGAAAATATTTGCAAATCATATATCTGATAAAGGATTAATATCCAAAATATATGAAGAACTCACACAACTGAGTAACAAAAAAATAAGCAATCCACCTACAAAATGGGCAGAGGCTCTGAATAGACATTTTTTCAAAAAAGATTCAACTGGCCAACACTTACATGAAAAGATATTCAACATCACTAATAATTAGGGAAATATAAATCGAAACCACAATGAGATACCACCTCAACATGAATGGCTATTACCACCCCCCCCCCAAAAAAAAAAATGATGTGCTGGCGAGGATGTGAAGAAAAGAGAACCCTGGTATGTTACTGGTGGAAGTGCAAATTGGTACAGCCACTATGAAAGGTTATACAGCCAAAATGAAAGTTAAAAATTGAAAATATTAAAAATTAAAAATAGAACTATATGTGATCCAGCATTTCTAAGTATACATCTGAAGGAAACAAAATCACTATCCCAAAGAGATATCCACACTCTCATGTTCAGTGTAGCATTATTACAATAGCTAAGATAGGGAAACGATCTAAGTGTCCATCAATAGATGAATGGACAAAGAAGATGTCCATTCGGCTATAAAAAATAAAGAAATCCTGTCATTTTTCGACAACATAGATGGACCTTGAGGGCATTATGCTAGAAAAATACACCGCCAAAGATAACACTGGAGTCTAATAGTAGAGACTTATAGGTCAGGAGAACATTCCAGCACTGCTCAAATCATTCTACAGAAAACCACACACAAGACTCTTTCCTTGTATGGGACATGGCCAGATGCAGCAAAGGGGGAAAACCTAGACAGCTGACTTTTACATTAACTAGTCACATTAATAGCAATCTATATGATTTATTACTTTTTAAAATCATTTACCTGGCTTTGTCATTTAATTTAGGAATCAGAATTGTTACTGATGGTTCTGGTAAATCTGATGAATATTCATGTTCTGAAGTAACTTCTAACGGTAAAAATTAAAAAGAAAAATTGTTAAGCTTCTCAACTAAATAAATATAAATATACCACTCAGGTCTTATTTATAATAGATTTAAAAAATCCAACCTTGTTGTGTATCACCCAGTTTCAATTTTTCAGGTGAACTATCAGCTGCTTTTGTTTGCTGCAAAAAAAAAAAAATATATGTATTTAATTACGTTGCCTTTGAAGTCCTCTTTTGAAATTCTTCTGGAGCCACTTTACACCTCCAAAAAAAAGCATTTCCATTGAATACTAAGATACCAGGCTCTTTGTTTATTAGACTCGGCTCCAAATGACTGTTGGCTGTTCCAATAAATTGATATCCACCCTCAGAAGATGATTTGCCACTATCAAAGACAATCAGAGTATTCTAATGTTACTAAGGGAAACATCAAAGGAAAAATTGCAAAAATGTCTTCAACGACATCAGAATTGTTGGGATAAGCATACGACTTCCTAAGGAGACCAACTCTCTGGAGAAATAACCTTTGGTATATTGGCTTTTAAAAAAAAAAATCATTACACTATCATCACACTTCTATATAATGTGTCCAGGTAATCAAATATAAAAAATGAGAAAGGGGCAGAATACCTATATATACTAAGTAATGTGTTAGGTGCTATACATACATTCTGTTTTTAATCCTCAGAGGTCTACCTTGTAAACCAGCTATTACCTCTATTTTATAGATGAGAAGCTTCAGGTTCAGTAATGTTAAGTAATTTGCCCAAGTTCCTGCAGGTCATAAGTAAAAACCAGCTCCTGGAGTCCAAAGATTAAAACCCTTTCCCTACAACTCAGTCTCTAGATTCCAAAAGAGAGAACAAGGCAGAGCCAGCCAAGTCATGCATTCTACGGGAGAGCCAAGTTGAGAAAGGAGAGAACACATAAACATGGCAGGCAAAAATAATCTCAGTTCAGAATCTTGTCCTCCAGCTCCCCATACTCACAGGAAGCTCAAACTGGTCATTTGAGGGGAGAGTTACTAGGCAGCATTCATCTTCAGCACTCATTAATTCTGGCAGCTCAGTGGATTCTTCTGCCCGGTCTATACATATTAAGAAAAAATAATTTAAAAGTGATAACAATATCCATGCACAACAGTGGGCACACTCTCCAATTGTTCTTCGTGGGATCCACAGTGCAGGTACATCACCATCTTTTGCTAAAAACTGATAAATTAGGTCAGGTCTCAAATTTCAAATTGGAAATCTATGGGACTTTGGAAAACAGCTGTGGGGTATAACTTATAAAGGGTTCACGATCTGTGCAGGACCAGCTTTGTAGGCAGACAGGCCCCTCCACGCCCCCATCTCCCTTGTCATTTCTGATTGACCCATAAGAGAAACTGTATCAGGTGAAGAAAATGATTCAAGACTATCAGCAGCTTTTCTTTTTGAAAAGGTACAATGATACATTTATTACTCTGATGTAATCACAGGTTTTCAGTGACCTCTTCCAAATAAGGTTTTGTCATTACTTTTGTACAGAATTCAGAGTAAGAAATTTTATTATTTCCCAATATACCTGTCTCTTCTTTGTGGCTGAGAGGAGGAATCTCAGGTTCTTCTTTATCAAACTTATCGAGAAGTTCTGAGGAGATTTTTGTCTGGTCAGCCAATATCTGAAATGAAAACCAAAAGCCATGTGACTTTTAAAACCAGTAATCTTTTAAAAGATTTTAAGGAAAACTTAAAGCTCAGAAACAGCACGCTGAGAAATTAGAAGTTAGTCTTTATTTTGTCCTCTTTTGAAGGATCATTTCACTGTTTCCAGCTTCTCTACTTACCTCCTTCCTCTAGGATCACCTTTCTCTGACCACTTCCCATCCCAGAGTCTGCACAGACCTTCCCTCCTCTTTCCCAAGTCTGACCCTTTGTATTTTCTAACCCTGCTTTACTCAGGGACTGAACCTCTCAGGATGAGTCTGCAGTGAGTTCCCAACAGCTCTCACATCCCAACTCCTTCTTCACAGGGTCTCATGGTCCAGGAGCTGTGGCTTAATAGCACGCAAAGCCCAATTTTCTCCAAACACATTTTTTTCACTTTGTGAAATGTGGAAATGAACATAATTCTGACATTTTTCATGAGAAAAGGCAAACCTATAGTGTCAGGCCAACTCATGTAATATGATGGAGGTGTTTTTTATTAATTGATTCTTTTATTTCTCATCCTTATCCATGAAATGGTCTTCTCATGGGTAAGTCTTTGGAAACTATATTTGCAGAACATTTTAACATATATAAAATGTTTTTATATACAACTCAAAACCAAGAGGAAACCAGTCCACTATACCCTCCCTCAGTTCTCTGACATCTTAATTCAACTCCTATCCTTGTCACAAATTTCTTTGCCCTGCCCACTGTCTGTGATAGAGAAAGGCTTCTTGCTCTTGTATATAAATAGGAAATATTATTCTCAGTGAGATGGAGACTGCTAGAGACCATAGCAGTCTACACAATGCTCAGATCATTTCCACAAGATAAGACCAGTAGAAATAACTGGTGAAAAACTTCCAAAGAGACCCTATTCCTAGTGGTTCCCCTCATCCTCAATGAGCTGAGAAATAAAGAAGTGCCAAGAAGTCCACAGCAAATATTGTCAGGACTTCTGGAAGAATGTGGTAAGGAGGTGATATTACCCTAGAAAAATTTTCAACTGTTCAAAATAATTAAGCATTTCAAGGCACAAAGAAGCTAAGCTTTGTATCCCCCATAGTTAAGACAATGATATATGAAAATAAAGAACTAGGATTAGAACTCAGAACTGTCAACTCTTATAACATGGTATGCAAAAGATCAATCCTTCTGCTTGAGCAAGTGTTCACATCAAAACCCAACAAGGAATTCTGGTTCAAGATGGCAATGTAGAAAGATTCTGAAGTGATCTCCTCCCACAGACACACATCAATCTTCAGCTGTATATAGGACAATTTCCTCTGAAAAAACAAAAACAAAATCTAGCTGAATGATTCTGATACATCAGGTGGCCAAGAAAAAATCCACATCAAAGCAGATAGGAGATGCTGAGACACAATCTTACTATAAACTCCAGCAGCATGACAACCCACAATCAGGTAGAAACTCAGAACCCCAAACTTCTCCCTGAGGAGTAAAAGGTTTGAACACTACTTCTGGTACCTCAATTTTTAAGACCTGCACCTGAGAAACAAGCCCCCAAAATATCTAGCTTTCAAAGCCAACAGGGCTTATGTCCATGAGACCTATGAAGCTCTAACAAACTGAGAAATAGTTCTTAAAGGGCTCACACACGCAGACTCGCCTGTCCCAGGGCCCAGCATGGAGGCAACCAACTGAAAGGCACACAGACTTTCTGTGAAAGAAGCTTATTTGCTTACCTTAAAGCATCTAGGAGCCTAGTGAAATCCTCTGTGGACACAGGCCACAAAGCCCCGTCTTTATACACTCCCTTTGCCTTGCTCTAGCTTGCCAATGTCTCCTGGAAAGAAGCTTGCACCCTCATCTAGTGCCCTGATATTTGCAGCTGCCACCAAGGGGACACCTCTAAATTGCCTGACTCTGGTGGCCAGCAGGGTTTCAACTTGTGGGTCTCTTAGGACTGTAACCAATGAAGAAAGAGTTCTTAACCAGCTACCATCCCCAAGACACAGAAGAGAAACAACAGACTGAGATGTCCAGGCTTTCTGTGAAAGAGGCCTATTTGCTTTCTTCATAGCTGCTGCCTGAGAGGCAGGCTTCTAATTAAATATGCATCTTAGGGACGGCTATAAACCTCTCCAGAGACCCTGAAGGGCAGTTTCTATCTTTGCATGTTCCCTCTTCCACGCTCCAGAGCACAGAATCCCCCAGAGGGCAGATTGTATGTGCATTTGATGGCCCATTCCTACATCTGGTACCCCAGTTTTGGTGGCTGCCACCTAGGATATGCTCCTACACTTCCTGGTTCTGATGGTCAGCAGGGCTTCCATTCTTGTGTCCCATAGTTCGGCAACAACTGGAAAGACAGTTCTTGGCTGACTACCACCCCCAGGGCACAGCACACACAGCAGACTAAAATACACTCCAGTCTTTCTTTGAAAAAGACCTATTTGCTTGTCCTGAAGTTCTGACCAGAGGGGCAGATTTCTAGTTGGGCACATGTCTAGAGGCTACTGGGGTCCTCTCGAAAACAGAGACTAGTGGATGCGACCTTTGCACTCTCCTTCTGCCTCACTACAGCTCACTAGAAAAGAGCTTGTACCATTATTTGGTCCCTCAATTTTTGTGGCTGCCACCCAGGGGGACACCTCTAGATCACCTGGCTCTAGTAGACAGTGGGGCTTGTGCTCGCAATACCACAGGACTGTATATATTTGCATACTTTAAAAGTGGCTGCCTGACAGTATGGTTTCCATGATTGAATCTAGGTGCTGAGATCCCCCCGTTTGGGACACTGACAGCCCTTGGCACACTAAATAAAAGAGGCTGCTTGAATAATCACAAAAGACTCAGACAACCAAGAGCTAGGGCAGGGTTGAGCATTAAGGTTCATCTCTTCATGAGGCTACTCCTTCAGATTGGGAGAGATAGCTGTTTTATCTAATGCATAGAAACCAACAGAGTCAAGGAAAATGAAGAAACAAAGGAATATGTTCTAAATGAAAACAAAATAAACCTCAGAAAAAGACCTTAATAAAAAGGAGATAAGTGATTTACCTGATAAACAGTTTAAAATAATGGTCATAAAAATGCTCACCAAACTTGGGAGAATAATGGATGAACACAATGAGAACTTCGACAAAGGCAGAGAAAGTACCAAACAGAAGTCACAGAACTTAAGAATACAATAACTAAACTAAAAAGTACACTAGAGGGGTTCAACACACTAGATGAAATGCAAAAAGGATTAGTGACCTCTAAAACATACCAGGGCAATGGAACTCACCTACTCAGAGCACCCAAAAGAAAAAATAATGAAAAAAACGAGAACAGTGTTAGGGACCTATGGGACAACATTAAGTAAACAAACATTCACATTATAGGAGTCCCAGAAGGAGAAGAGAGAAAGGAACAGAAAGTTCATTTGAAGAAATAAAAATTTCCCTAACCTGGGGAAGGAAACAGACATCCAGATCTAGGAAGCCTGAAGAGACTCAGAAAAAAAAAGGAAGGAAACAGTGCCCTGATATTTGCAGCTGCCACCAAGATCTAGGAAGCCTGAAGAGACTCAGAAAAAAAAAAGAAACCCAAAGAGACCCACCTAAGGCACATTATAATTACAGTATCAAAAGTTAAAAGATAAGAATTTTTAAAGTAGCAAGAGATAAATTTGTTACATACAAGGGAACCCTCCTCCCACTGCCCAAGACTATCAGTTTTTCTCAAAAGAAACTTTGCAAGTCAAGAGTGTGGCATAATATATTCAAAGTGCTAAATTTAAAAACTCCCAACCAAGAATACCCTACTCAGTATAGCTGTCATTGAGAATTGGACAGGTAAAGTGTTCCAGACAAGCAAAAGCTAACGGAGTTCTTCACTACTAGACCAACCTTATGAGAAGTGTTAAAAGGACTTCTTTAAGCTTAAATAAAAGGATGCTAATTAGTAACAGGAAAATATATAAAACTATAAATTTCACTGGCAAAGGTAAATATATAGTAAAATTCAGAATAATCTGATATTGTAAAGGTGGTGGATTAATTACTTATAAAGCTGGTATGAAGTTAGAAGACAAAAGTAGTAAAAAGAACTATAACTACAATACTTTGTTAAGAGATACCCGAGATAAAAAGATGTAAATTGTAACATCAAAAAGAAAAAAAAGAAAAAAGTGGAGAGAAAGTAAAAATGTGGAGCTTTAGAGTGTAATTAAACTTAAACTGTTATCAACTTAAAATAAACTATTATAAGTTGTTTTATGTAAGTCTCATGGTAACCACAAAGCAAAAACCTACAGTGGATGGATGGATGGATGGATGGATGGATAGATGGATGGATGGATGGATGGGAGGAAGGGAGGGAGGGAGGGAGGGAGTGGATGGATGGATGGATAAGCATACCACTACAGAAAATCATAGAATCATACAGGAATAGAGCAAGAGAAGAAAGGAACAGAGGAAGTACAAAGCAGCCACAAAACAATCAACAAAATGTAGATCAGTATATATCTATCGATAATTATTTTAAATGTAAATGAATTCAATTTTCCAATCAAAAGATATAGAGTGGCTGAATGGATACAAAAAGACCCATCTATATGCTGCCTAAAAGAGACTCACTTTGATGTAAGAACACACATAGACTGAAAGTAAAAGTATAGAAAAGATATTCCATGCAAATGGAAACCAAAAGAAAGCTGGGGTAGCTATACTTATATCGGACAAGAGAGACTTTATTACAAAGACTGTAATAAAAGATAAAGATCATTACACAATGATAAAGGGTTCAACCCAACAATAGGATATAAGATTTGTAAATATTTATGCACCTAACATAGGAGCATCTATACATATAAAGCAAACATTAAAGACCTAAAAGGAGAAATAGACAGAAATAGACAGAAATTGCATATTTGAAAGTTGCTAAGAGAGTAAATTAAAAATTTTCATCACAAGAATAAAAGAACTGTAACTATGGCAATGGCTGTTAACTAGACTTATTGTAGTGATTATTTTGTTATATATACACATATTGAATTATTATGCTATGCATTTGAAACTACTACAGTCATGCACCACTTAATGACAGGGCTATGTTGTAAGAAATGCACTGCTAGGTGATTTTGTCATTAAGTGAACATCACAGAACACACTTGTACAAACCCACATAGGATAGCCTACTACCCACCTAGGCTATGTGGTATAGTACATTGCTCTTGGGCTACAAGCCTATACAGCATGTTACTGTACAAAACAACATGAGATTAAAACAAACACAAGAGAAAATGATGCAATCAAAAAACACAGTAAACACCAGATGTATGAGACTGCTGCCAGCAAAACACAGCATACTGTTTTATAGCAAACTTTTTTTATAAGTAGAGTATACACTCTAAAGTGATGATAAAAAATGTGGTGTAGTAAATACATAAATCAATAATATAGTTGTATATTATCATTATCAAGTATTATTGTATATAATTACATGTGCTATACTTTCATTTAACTGGCTGTGCAGAAGGTTTGCTTACACCAGCATCACCAAACACATGAGTAATGCTTTGCACTACATTATGAGGGCTATGATGTCACTAGACAATAGGAATTTTTCAGCTCCATTACAATCTCATGGGATCACCATCTTAAATACAGTCCACCATCAACTGAAATGTTGTTATGTAACACATGACTGGATGTTAGATGTCAATTACATTTTAATTTTTAAAAACCCAACACAGAAATTTAAGAGACATAAAAACATACTACAACACAGTCAAATAATTAAAAAGAATTAAACCTGCCACCTGTTTGTCTTCTCCCAAAGCTTTAATGGAAGCCTGTGATATGTTGAATTGTAAATCAAAATGGATTTCTATTTTCCTCACTTCTTTATTTCTGATATTAATAGGCTTCAAGTAAATGATAAACATCTTCTTCTCCTCAGTTTCTAACAAAAAAACAAAATATAACAATGCAGATCAAGTTTTTATTTTAAGATTTTATAACTTTAAATAACTGCACTATAATATTTGTCAACTGTCTAAATTTTTCTGCAATAAGGAATTGTAAAGAAAGTTACTTTGAAGTTATTTGTATTAGATTCACATGTGTGTTTATAGACATACACTATTGATTAAGTAGTTAATCTTGCAAAATTAGAAAGTAACATCTTAGCAGCACAGCAAAGGAAATAGTTTTGTCTTTTAAAATTCTGTCCATTTTTCAGTGAATATAACACTATCTTATGCAACAGGTATTTTACTTCCCAATATATTAAACACAACATTCATTCTCATTCTTTCTCTCAGATCCCACTCATTTCTAAAACCCAAATTAAAAGTCATTGTTCGCAATATGCAAGATGGAATAATCTACCTTTATTTCAACAGCCTCTGCTTAAAGAGGAGAAATGGAAACATTCTAGAGAGAGGGCTGTTTCTCAGACAACAGTCTCCTTGAGGACTCCCTTCCAGAACACCAGCCTTTTACTGACAAATAGTAATTGGTTTTAAAAGAGAAACTACCTTAGACCAAAATTCAAGGAGAATCTAAAAATAACCCACAGTACATGCTGAGTTGGAAGCAGCACGACAGGAAAGAGAGTAAAGTCTATGGCAGCACAGGCAAAACTAAGTCACAACTTGATGAGAATGGAAACAGGAAAAAAGAGTAAGACACACCAATGTCTAGATCTGCGGCTACTGAGTACTTGCAATATGGCCAGTACAAATTGAGATGTGCCACAATCATAAAATACATATCAGCTTGTGAAGACAATACAAGAGAGAAAGTAAAATATCTCATAAATTTTTCATATTCTTACATGTTAAAATGTTAATATTTTGGAATATATTGGGTTAAATGTGTATTATTAAAATTAGTCCACTTAAAAAACTTTTTAATGTGGCTACTCGAAAATTTAATATTAAATTTAATACATGCCTCACATTATATTTCTATAGGACAGTGTCAGCCTAGAGTAAATCTTGGCCTAGAGTAAATCTCGTAATCCTCCAAAATACTGAACAGCTAGTTGGGCTGTAGAATTCATTGAAAACATACCAGAGCCAGAAGAAATTACCTGAGGGCTGCACCAAGCACTCAACAAACTACTAAAAGATTTCTAACTCCTTAGCAAGAAGAGCTATACATACAAAATTAATGTTTTGCTGGTAGAATTTGCTAGACAACCTTGTTTCCTTAACTATAAATATAGAAAGTGACACCTCCTCCAGATATTGTGAGGTACTTTGTAAATTACAAAGTCTCACAGAAATGTGACCTATTAATGAAGTACAGAATATTAACTTTGGCAAGTTGATTCCTGAAAACCACTACAGTAACAAGGTTTGGTGAGCAGCAGCTTAAAATATGAAAAGCAACTTAGGGGTGCAACAGAAAACCCATGGAAGTCCTTCTAAAATACTGACCTAGAGTAAATGCCAACAATATTTTATGTATTTTAAATAAATAGCAACAAGCAATGACTACATAAATTGACTCTTACTTTATGACTATAATTATTTACATTTCTAGGGAGATATTTTTAAGCCCCTTCCTTTTACTACAGATAGGAGATACTCCCAACTAATGCACACTGTCTTTCCAGTTCGGTGACTACTGACACAATAAGATATATTTGGCCTCTGTCTTGGATTCCTGATCCAGAGCTTTCCTTTTAATATTTGGCCTTTGAACCCTGTTCTTGACACAAGAGCTTCTAAGACCCTTAGAAACCCCTGAGTGAGGAGTGTCTTTTGTATGCTAATGAGGTGACTGGTGGCTGGAGGCCCACCCCTACACAGCATCAGGATGGGGCTGGTCCCAGAAAGACTAAGGCATGATTACAGGGCTGGAACTTTCAGCCCCATCCCTCAATCCCCAGGGATGGGAAATAATCGGTCATGGCTACATAATAAAGCCATCATAAAAATCTCTAAACTAGGTTCAGAGAGCTGTCAGGTTGGTGAACATATCCTTGTGCCAGGAGGGTGATGCACCCCAATTTCACAGGAATGTAAGTTCTTACACTCAGGACACTCTGGATCTCATCCTGTGTACCTCTTTATCTGGCTGTTCATCTGTATCTTTAATATAGCTTTTATAACAAATTGGTAACTTAAGTGTTTCCCTGAGTTCTGTGGGCCATTATAGCAAATTATCAAACTTGAGGAGGAGGTTGTAGGAACCCCCAACTTGTAATTGGTCAGAAGTGCAGGTGGTCACCTGAGACTTGCAAATAGTGTCCAAAGTGGAGCCAGTCCTTTAGAACTGAGCCCTCAATCGGTTGGGTCCACACTAACTTTAGGTAATTAGCATCAGAATTGCTTAATGTGACAGAAAAACCTACACGTTTTGTGTCAGAAGTGTTTTGAGTAAAGGAAAGTTTTCTTCTAGCATCTCTCAGTTCTTCCAACTCCTAGCCTTCTCAGATGTCAACAGATATAGTTCCAAAATGTAAGCTCACTTCTCTTCAACTTGCCCTTTGTTGTCCCAAGTGCTTCACTGCAAAAGTCTCCCCTTCTCTTTGCCATTTGCTTTACTGCTTAATCATCCCTGTTCCAAATTTCTCTTTTTCTACTAATGTCCAACAGGAGAAATTAAGTATTCCTGCACATCAGAACAAATTCTCACAAGCACTGGAAACAACTACATGCAGAAGATTGTGAAAGATTTTGAAATGGGTCAAAAAGTTACCGGGTGCCTGTCCAGAATCCCTTCTGGATTATTTGTACTTTTCATTGTCTTTGAGCTATTTTACAAATCTGTAAACTGTAGAGAGCTGATAGTCATGAAAGTGATTCTTGTCCCTAGAAATTCAAGTTAATCGTGTCTGTGGATTGTCTAGTCTTAAATCTATTTGTAGATTAATTTCAACATTGCTTATATACATGTAGTTCTTTGAATTCTCCTTTGAACTGATTACTACATTACTGATTTCTTCATTAATTAATGAATTTAAATAAAATCTTCAACTCATAATTATGTAATATTTATATCGAAATCATGATTTCACTTTTTCAAAAATTATCATTTAATGGAACAATGAAGTTAACTTATGTATACAAGAAATCCAGCAAGGGAAACTCAGAATTAAGGAAGGATTATCTTATCCTCAGTGGTTCTATGCAAGAAGCTTCGGTTAGAGTTCAAGGCTAAGAAGGATTTGTTCTCATCAACACTTGTATGAGAAGAATAATGTTACAGACCATGTTTCACTTTTCACCCTGGCTTTCAGGAAGCTAAGCAGCAAATCTGAATTTCCAAAGAGACCATTTAAGACTAGCCTTCACAGCAGACATTTTTATTCTTATCTGTGGTTCCAATTTTCCATTTTTATTATTTTGGTATAAATATGCAAGCTGTCCTAAATCCTTCGTGGAAGAAGTGAAGTAAAATACCCATATAATTACATAATATTTTGTTTTTAAATCTTCAATAAACCTAATTACTTAAAAAATGTTATATATACTGTTACTTTCAAAAACATCTCTTTATTTTTTAAGACCCTATTCAGGGATCCTGATCAAGTATGATTATAGTTAAAATGCTGAACTGGACTAAAAAGTTACTTGTACCCATCTAATTTCATGCCCTCAACTCTACCTACCAATCCAAGAAAAGTGAGTGACAGAGGTTTAAGAGGGCAGAGTCAGAGGGATAATATTTAGATAAAGGTGGTACATATCCACATAAACTCATTAATTATTACTATAAATCTGGGGTAGAGGCAGGGCAGGTACTAAAACTATTTTTTTTTAATTGTGGCACAAAATACAACATTTACACTGTTAACTATCTTTAGATGTACAGTTCAGTAGTGTTAAGTATATTCACATTTTTGTACAACTGATCTCCAAAACTTTTTCATCTCTCAAATCTGAAATTCTGTACCCACTAAACAACAACTCCCTATTTTCCCCTCCCCACAGACGCTGGTAACCATCATTCTACTTTCTCTATCAATCTGAGTACTTCAGATGCTTTATATAAGTAGAATCATAAAGTATTTGTCTTTTTGTGACTGGCTTATTTCAGTTAGCAAAATGTCCCCAAGGTTCATCTATGTTGTCACATGTGATAGAATTTCTTTTCTTTTTAAAGCTAAATAATATTCTTCTGTGTGTATGTACTATATTTTGTTTATCTATTCATCCATGGATAGGTACTTAAGTTGCTTCCACCTCTTGGCTATTGCGATTAATGTTACAATGAACATGGGTGTATAAATATCTCTCCAAGTCCTGCTTTCAATTCTTCTGGATATATACCCAGAAGTGAAGTTGCTAGATCATATAGTAATTCTATTTTTATTTTTTTGAAAAACTAAACCATATTTACAATGAGAAAACCAGACAAGTAACTGAACCCAAGTCACGAAGCAAAGGAGTCACCAGTCCTGTACCCCTGCATGCTGGTCCTGAGCACCGTGCTCCTCCCACCACACTATACCACCTCCCTTCTACCTCAAGGCACAAAGTCTGCTCTAGAATTAACTAAACATATACTGCAACTATAAACAAAAATAATATTCTGAACTAAATGTGGGGTAGTTTAATTATTGTCTTACCTATTACGCTGTAATTAATCACTGTGTCCTTCAAAAGTCTTACTGAGTCCCACAGAGCACTCTTGGGGAAAAAAATAAGTGAAATTCGTGAGCACATAAGATGTACTTGCATATGAACACTCACTAAGTCCTTAAGTTTAAACAGAAATCAAATGTGATTACCTCAGTATTTTCTATATAAAAAGTTACACTCTGACTTCCTAGGTTGAAATCAATCCAAAATTTCTCCAATTTTTCATCTGCTGGTTTTCTCATCTGCAAGATATAATTTCAGCATAAATTATACACATAAATATCATGTCAAAGGGTCAGATAAAATTTTTCCACTAAAAACAGAACTTCTGCTTTTCCTAAAACATTACCCTAATATTATATCATGTCTCTTTACTGCATTGCTCATTTCTACAAAAGGAAGGTCTCAATTTTATATAACGAAGCTATTTCTAGGGAAAAAAAAAATCCACTATCCTTAGCTATTTAATAGATGTTTAAAATGTGTCAAATGACTCTGTTCACACAAACTTAAAGAAAGAAGAAGAGAAGAGAAAAGAAAGAAAATATGCTGTTTATACAAGAGCAAACATCTTCGCTGCCTCCCAACTTCCCATGGGCATCATCATTAATGCCTTTTTCTCCCAGATATATTCGAGTTATATGTCAAGAAATATAAAGAAAGTTTGTATACCTCAAGAATGGAGCAAACACTAGATTTACTAGTCTATCGCCTGCTTTTCTAATAAATAGTACTTCTTGGACATCTCTCCATCATACATGCCTACTTTTTAATAGCTATAGAGTTGAATAAAAGTTTTAACCCAAAGCATATGTTACTGGAAGCCAGCATAAGGACCTTGACTGTAGCTAATGGAAATTCAGAATTCCTAGAAAGAAGAACCAAGCTGAGATCAGACTCCTCAGACAGAACTGAGATACACGAATCAAGCTACCAAAATCAGTTCTAGAGATAAAAAACTTGTAGTGTAGTCATGAGTTGTAGGCTCAGCTCACAGAGGCCAAGAAGGGGGTTCTGAACCTAAAACAAAGAAATTATTAGGACATTCTGAAAATACAGGGCCCAGGAAACCCCCAACAGAGTCATAGTTCAGCAATCTTTGGAGATGTTACCCCAAAATTAAGATGCTGTAGGTTGGGGTACCCTTAAATGAAAGACCTTGCTCCTCTAGAAACCAAAAAAGGGAGTAAAAAGAGATTAATCAATTTTGGACTATAAATTATACAAAGTAGAATGATCTAGAGTAGCAGTCCCCAACCTTTTTGGCACCAGGGACCAGTGCTCCTATGAGAATCTAATGCCTGGTCATCGGAGGTAGAGCTGAGGCGGTGATGCTAGCGCTGGGGAGCAGCTGCAAATACAGATGAAGAAGCTTCTTTTGTTCACCTGCTGCTCACTTCCTGCTGTGTGACCCAGATTCTAACAAGCCACACCAGTACCAGTCTGTGGCCTGGGGCTTGGGGGGCCCTGATCTAGAGAAAGGAGAGTGGCTCTAATTGCTGGGGATTGAGTGGGAAGCATCAACTGCATGGAAAGCAAGATAACTGCCCTTTTCCCATTTATCCAGATATGAATAATATGACCCACTAATAGTGTAAAATAAGGCCAGGTTTCTGTAATTGACCTCATGAATACATATAAACCTTAAAATTTCTTTATCTAGTATTAACGGTAGGGTCCTTAAACCTATAGTATGAGAGAAGACAGGGAAAAGGAACAGTAAGCTTCAGAGTTGAGGCCTCTAGGAGAAGTAAGCTTCCTTTTTTAAAAAGCCCTTCTGAGTAGCAAGAGCAACTTGACCTAAATAAACCTAACTATGGGTTTCATTACACATAACCCTCATGGCCCCTAAGAGAGACAAACATACCTCATTCCCATCAGCAAAAGCAGCAATACACGGAAATGAATAGACCCTGCAAAACACCTCACAATTAAAAATTAAAATAAAATATGGATGGAACTCAAACACAACCTACAGATGTCCTACAAACAAGCATTTATAACTAGGGGATATTAGTAAGTCTCTTTGTACAAAGTACGGAAGGGGATTTCAAACCCGCAAATAGAGATTTGCTATGGCTCGATTTCAAATCCCCATCTGAAAATCTACATGCCTGGTTTACCGATACTACATCTCAACTCAGTAGCTTGGCAAGTTTCCCACTGAAGGATTGAATTTAGCAACTATTGAGTACTTAACCGTCCACAATACATCTATCCCTAGTGACCTTGTCTATAAAAATAACTCTTTATAAAATCTTCCCAGAGGACATAATGTTAAAAATATTCCCAATCATAAATAAATATGCTAAAAGAATGACAGATTATTTTTAAACACAGAAATGAATCACTAGGCAGAATGTGTCTACATTTCTGAGGTTTCTACTCAATAGATAACTCAGTAGTATTCAGTAAATTATGTATCCTATATTCTCTCCTAATATAAAACAGATCCTAGATTTTTTAATATTAGACATTTTCAGAATGCAACTACTCAATAAAATAATGTTCAGAGAAACATCTTACCTTCTTTGGTCACCAAGCCTGTTGTTTAGGTAATTGAGAAACAGTCTACTGTCCTTCAAAATAAATAATGCAAACTTTTTAATAAAAAATCAAGATGTCTTAGGTAAATAGTACTACCATAACCAGCATGCAGAGGCCAATGTTTGCCTCTAAATTTCCAGGATCCAGTAACATTGCAAGACTTTACAAGTATTCATGATCATACCTTAACTAAAACAATACTTTGTGTTATAAAGGGGCAGCTTCAGACACATGTCCTAGAAGGAATCCCCAGGAGATTTTTAATTGAGGAATGTTTAGGTGTCCAAAAGTTATATGCACAATTACGTTTCACTAGGTTAAAAGAATAGAAAGAAAAACAAACCATCCTGATAAGCTAGATTACTATATTTGACTAACTCACTGGACGTCCATCTCCCTAACATCTGCCCAGCACAAGCCAACTACAAACCCATAAAACTCATCAACTTTGGGTTTCTCTGGATGTATTATCCACAGCCAATTTTCCTGATCCAGAATTCTCCATCTCGCTCCTTCTTAGGTTTTCTCTCCTGGTATATGTTCTAAAAATAAAGAATATTTTTAGAGTTCCATCCAACAGCTATTAGGAAACTAAATTTGTGACACTGATCCAGGCTTTTTTGTCCCTTTTGTTAGCAAGCACTGGCTGTTGATTCAGTCTTTACACTCTGTGTCTATATTCAGTACTAGACAGACAACAGTAATGTAAGTCTTCATATAAACATAGTTTAGTTAAGAGGTTGATGGCTCTGGGGTGGAGAGGAGATATGACTTGAAAAACGAGATAATTATTTTTGTCCTATTTTCATCACATTTCCTTGCAGATGAGGGACTGACACAGGGGAGAAAGGAAACTAATATCTGAGTGTCCCCAATATCTCAGGGACTTTCAGTTTCTCTCATTTAATTCTCCAGATTTTGAGGTGGGTTTCATTTCCATTTAATAGATGAGAACTCTCAGGCTTCTTAAGTCAACTACCTTGCAAAATGCATGCATCACTTAGGTCAGGGAGGTGGGACTCTAACTCAGGGTTCGTGGTCTTTCCATTTAGATTAAACTAAATCCTGGCTAATGAAGATCTGGCAATAGGCTCAAAGTCAAATAAAATATATTTAATAATATATTTAAAGGTTTAGATTTAATAGAATCCTAATTTTTTGCACAGAAATTTGGACCAGAAAAGCTTTATTCAACATGAGCACTGTTGTAAAGAATTTTACCTTTTCTTAAGTGCTTAACCCTCATTTTAAAAACTTTTTTAGAGGAAAAACACTTTAGCTATTTTAGGATGAAAATGAGTATACACAAAGCCATAAGCTATTTTTTTGTGCTACTTGAAAACACAATCACAGTGAACTCAGATTGCATGGAAGACACTGTAAATTACGATTCCTCCAAACTGTAGAGACTGAATGGCTCACAACACAAAACACCCCATAATACTCCTCTACCACTAGAGAAGACCGTGCCACTTCAAGCCTCCCGTCATTGCACGGCTGCTCTCTGCGAGGCTGATGTTCACTTTCTTCTCCAACTCTGCTTACCCTTCGAGGTTCATTGAAAAATTGCTCCCCGCTCCATGACATTTTCTCTGACTGGACACATCAAATTCGCATATATGTAACTTGTAAGTTACCTATAAAGAAGTCCTATCTCTGTATCCCCATATTTGACTCATAAATTTTGTTTGTACTGTCCTCAAATTATTTCACATAAGTGAGAAACAGAGTTTAAGAATGGCACCTTAATCACATTAATGGGAAAAAATCCTCCCCTGAACCCTTGATAGAATGCTTAATAAGTTCAGATTAAATGGAATTTTAATGACCAGGAATCGCACCGTCTCAAATTGCCGACCCTTAATTTTTTTGAAAGCTTCAGCAATGACGTCGTCTTCAAACCACTGATGAACAAGGTCGTCCCTTGACATTTTAGTTGTCAGTCTACACAATGCTTCAGAAAGTGCAACCTGCTGGTCATAATCTAGAGATCAGAAATATGGCAAAATGAATAATTCTGGGCCAAGGCAAAAATATAAATTCCACAGATTACCACTTGCTTTCAGAAAATTCCATTTTAGAAGACTAGCATTGCATCTTATAACAGCAAGATGTATCCTGAAGTAATTATAATCATTTAAATTAAATACTTAAGAAATATTAGAAAATCTAAATAACTGGTCATCACATAACAATTTTTTAGATAAATATCTCTGTACTTTATATATGTTAAAACATTCATCAAAAGCAGCTCATCAGATAGCCTTTAAAACATATTTCTACTACAAAGATTAAATCCCAAGACTGTGGTATTTCACAGTAAATAAACAAAAACTACATATATCAACACGTTTAAATCCCAAATAATTTTAAGGGTAAAAGAAAGTTACAGCTGCATATGTACAATAAGAGATTTATAAAATGCTTTTAAAATCTGCAAAACAATAATGTATGTTGTTTATGACTACATAGCAAAAAAGTGGAAAAATATACTTGGTAATGAAAAACAATCCAAGTCAAGGATCACCTCTACCAATGGAGAGGAGAATGGGTTCAGGGATAACTCTGATTGATTTATAAAATGTAACTCTGATTGATTTATAAAATGATTTGAAGCAAATGTGGCAAAATGATAAAAATCTGACTAAGCTGGTTGGTGAACGAATGAGTGTTCATTATTCTTTAGTTTTCAACCATATTAAAATCTTACATAATAAATGAAAAACAAAATCATAATCCCTATTTTCAATTTGGTCATAATTTATTCCTCACAGTTCCAATATGCTCATAAACCCCCAATGTCCAATATTTAATATTCTAATATTTAAAATACTAAACATTCCTTACCACCAACAGTCAAGATGGTCCCTGCAAGGTCTTTCCTGAAACATTTAGATAAACTGTATTTTACTGAAGTAAACGTAAATAGCAAAACTTCACCATATTGGCATTAAAATTTAAAACCAAAATGTATATTTCTGAAAGCATTTCAAATTCTGCTTCAGCATTTTCTCAATGTCAAGAAGAGATTTTTATGGAAAATTCTTAAGTTTGTACATTAATGACTTACATGTACTTTCAAAAGAAAGGAAGCTACAGCTACTTTACATTCTGCAGTTCTATTTCTCCTTCTGCAAAGCAAATTCAATTTGATGATCTCTGAGGATTTATCAAGTGCTAAGATTCTGGAATTTTACAATCATCTCACCGTTCTTCTGAGTATATGTGCCTTTTTTTTTTTTCTTTTTACATAGTTTGGCATCTATTAACAACAAGTGCTGTGGGTCTTTCCAATGAACTTCTTGAACTTATTTTAAAACTTAAATTACAAGCATAAAGGGATTAAGTTATTACATTATTGTAACTAATACAGATTTCCATATTATATGCAGACTGCTCCCAACTTATTTTTTTTTCACTTTAAAATGGTGCAAAAGCAATATACGTAATGAGCTATATGAGATATTCAGCACTTTATTATAAAATAGGCTTTATGTTAGATGATTGTGCCCAACTTTAGGCTATGTAAGTGTTCCAAGCACATTTAAGGTAAGCTAGGCTAAGTTAAGAATATTCAGTGCATTTTCAACTTACACTTTTCAATTTACCATGGTATTATTTACCAAGACATAACCCCATTGCAAGCTGAGGAGCATCTGCATTTATTTAACAATTTTAATTAAATGCTAACAAATGTGATGTTGATCTCTTTTAATGTTCGAAATAACTCCCATTTTAAAGAGTTGTTAAATCTTGTAGTAGTTGCACTTCTCATAATAAATGATTGATTTATTACTATTAAATAGAAGCCTTAAAACAGTATCGCTGAGAGTTCTGCTTAATTTTATGCTTGCATATTTTACTTGAAGTCTAGAATATTCCAGAGTTTCTAGAACACACAAACAATAAGGTAGGACCATAGGATTAGGTTGAAACTTAGGAGAAAGCTTCAGGTCAGCTGCTCTCCAAGTCTAAATACACCACTAAGAATATGATTTCACTTATGTAGTCAATAAATATTTTTTAGGAAAAATTCAGTGGAAACACTGCATTCTGCAAAGACTAGTTAAATGGACAAACATGACAGCAATGAGCTCTGTGCTCACCAGTCACTTCCTTCAGACTTATACTATGGTAAACTTAGTCACCCTTCCTCTTGTCAGCCATGGCCACATGTCACAAGAATGAGTGCCACAATGATGTCATCAATGCCGGTTAGTAGTTAATACACAGTCATAGTTTTAGGTTCAAATTTCAAAACTGGGTGCTGGTTTTGCTCTTTTCGTGGTCACATATTACAACCTTATCTCCAAATTTCAATGTTCCAAGAACTACATAATTGTGACTGGGGCACCAAAAAACAAAAAATCCATCACTTGAAAAGTAATACAAAGTCCATGCCCTATTGGTATAGCTAATGGTTTATAACCTTTGAGAACTTGCTCTCTAGCAGATAATGTGCTAATAATCACTTTCAATGGATTGCCTGATTCAACCTGTACAATAACTCTATCAATCAGGTATTAATGTTGGCTCCATTTAACGGGCAAGCAAACTGAGGTACAGTGAGGTTAAGACTGTGCTCTAGATCAGGGGTCCCCAACCCCTGGGCCATGAACAGGTTGACCAGTCTGTGGCTTGTTAGGAACTGGGCCACGCGGTAGGAGGTGAGCAGCCAGCCAGTGAGAGATGCTTCATCTGTATTTGCAGCTGCTCTCCAGTGCTGGCATCACTACCTCAGCTCCACCTCAGATCTTCAGCCATTAGATTCTCATAGGTGCACTGGTCCCTGGTGCCAAAAAGGTTAGGGACTATGGCTCTAGAGAAAGCAATGAACCCAAGTGGTAAAACCAGGATTTAAAGCCAAGCAGTTTAGCAGCAGGGTCTGTACTCAACGTTTTCCCATTAATAACTAATTTAGTTCACATTCACAATGAAAAAAAATATTTATAACCCCAAAAAGCATTTTAACCTCACAAACTCGATGCAAAAAAAAACAAAACAAAACAAAACAAAAAACTCAAAAAAAAAAAAAAAAACCCATAATACTAAAAAAGAATAGCCTAGTAAGGTCTGGCATTGTTCCTCAGTCTTTCTTCACTACTTAGCACAATGCGTGATCCATAATAGGTGCCCAAAGCATTTACTGAAGGAAGGCATGAAGCGATCATGCCTAAGGAAAACAAAGACTGAGATAGTACAATTAGACTTTGCCCTTACATCACCACATAATCAAGTACAAGGTCACTTACATAAGATGACACAGGCCTTCTGACAAGGGGAGTTTTTTTCTCTCTTCCCAAGGTACAGAATCCAAAATGCCGTTCAAAGTCTTCAAAGCCTATTCGGAGTTGGAGAAGGTCTACATGGGGAAGAAGCTAAAGAGGGGCCTAGGCACAACCTTCTCCCAGGTTTCTACGGCAACTGTTACATTTTGTTATTTGCAACTCACCTCCTGCTGGATCAAATGATTTACCGTTTCTTCTATCACCAGAAATCCTAAGGTATATATGAAGGAACCCAACATCTGAATTTTCCCTGAAAGCATAATTTTAAAACAATCACACTGATGCTAAAGAGAATAAGGAAATACTTCTTGCACAGCAGGAAGAGGCAAAGACTGACAAAGCCATGGGAGCAGTAAACATTTCAGAAATTTCAGTCTGGGCAAGAGACAAATTACAGCCTGCTTCAAGTTCTAGAAACCCCAGTTCACAACAAACACACTTGCACTGCATAGACACAAAAGAAACTAAGAGCAGCATATGCAAAGTGTGACTGTTGTGATTATCACATTTCAAGCGAAGCTACTTGTTTGTCTAACTGAGCAATGTGCAAAGGACAGCTCCTGCACATTTTGTCCTGTTGTTTCTATGTACTTCTTACATTTAGATAGTGTATAAAATTTAAAATTTTATAAGGTCTTATGCTAACAAAAAGAGAAAATTTTAAATAAAGTGTTGGCCTTTATTATATAGCATAATTACAGAAACTTCAACAGCCATTTATATGTCAGTACATAGTTTAAAAAGGGGTATGTGGTAATACTTTATGCTTATTAAACAATAAACTATTTACAAATTTATTTAAGCACATTAAGATAAAAATGATAGTGCAAAAAAACTTATGGTAAGATCATAATGTAATTATCATAGGTTCAGATGTGCAATTTTGATATATGAATAATTTATCACACACTGTATGCTTTTTAATCCCCATGTAACTCATGACATTGAAGTAACTGAACCAGAAAGTAGAAATAAAAAAGATCCTTCAGTCCAAAGCCAGCCAGATAAATACTGCTAATCTCTGGAAACCAGATATTAGGCTAGGGCCAAAAATTTGCCTGTCAGCTTAAAACCTGAGAGGAAGATTCTAACAGAGCCCACAGGAACAGAAGGGGATTCTAAAGATATTTATGCACCCTGTTAATTAGCAAATATCAGATGTCATTTGAACTTTTCATTTAAAGAGTAATAAAGAAAAACTAATATTTATAGTCTCATGAAAAAGAAAAGGAGAGCAATGTAGATCAAGAGGTAGCAGAAAAGTTACTTGAAAAAGTGCTTACTTCAGGAAACAAAAATTTAGGAAACATCTGATTTATAATCTCAAACCTCAAAACAACATAAGTTCTATGAAACAAAAAATGAGACTTGCAAGAAAAGGTGACAGTCATTTACACAGAAGTAAATGAGAAAGAAATATGTAATATGAAAATTGAAACCATTCTAGATATTTCAACCTGAGGAATTTAATACAAGGAATTATTTACAAAGACAATTAAAAAAAAAAAAAGCTGAGAATCCAAATGGGAAACAATGAGATGGTCTAGAAATGAGCATTAGTAATGTAACTACCATGCCTCTCCCGGTGTGACACCCCTCGATCAAAGTCAAAATCACAGAAAGGAAGTGGCATTACCAGATCCCAGGAATCAAAGTCATCTAGTAAAAGCTATACCTACAAATGTACCAGAGCCACAGGGACTATGCAGTCACTCATGGAGATAGCACCTCAGTAGAAGGGAGGGGGGGAAAATGCCTTTTCTCCCTACTTTCAATTTACTTCCATTGGCTAAACCTAGCAGGCAGTCAGTTGATAAGAAAACATAGAAAACAACAGTTTTCTGCAATACAGAGTGTGTGTGTGTGTGTGTGTGTGTGTGAGTGTGTGAGTGAGTGAGTGAGTGAGTGAATGAGTGAGTGAGTGTGGGTGGGGGGCGGTGGGAGAGAGGGACAGAGAGAGGGACGGATCTAAAAGCAGAGGCAGATCACCACAACACACAGGTTTTAAGGAGGCAAAGGTGTGATAGCAGGTGAAGTCTGTACTGGAAGCAACGAGAGCAGAACAAGATGAGTTAAAGTGAGAGCTTCTAAGAAAAACTTAAGAACTGATCTTGAAACACACAGAAAAAAAATGAGAGAAAATGATGCATATGAAGACAAAAAAGACACAATAAATGAATAACAGATAATCTAACAAAAAGACTAGAATAGAGTAACTGTAATGGATTTCTTGGTGTTTTCTTGTTATCCTTTCCCCCTCTGTTATGTAGCCATCATGCTATTGAATGGGACTGACTTGCTTCAGGTGTGGATCCTGACTGGCTTACGCTATGCTAGGACATCCCATTCATCTTTTCACAGTGATTGGTTCATGGAGCGGGGGCGGGGGAGGAAGCGGGGACATTCAATTGTAGCAAACCTAGAGCTTTTCTTTTGATGGCTAAGGAAGGTGAATATTTCTCCCTCTAGATGTAAATCAGGAAGCACAAAGCTCTGGTTGCTAGCTGCCATCTTTCAACCATCAAGGGAGACCAACTTGAGAATAAATACAAGACTCTGAGGAAGACAACTAAGAACTGCTGAGAATGGAGCATAGCCACAAGCAAACTACCTGTCTCTGGACTTTTTAGCTCCTGTGTCACTAAGTCATCTTTATCATTCCAGCCTATTTGAACCAGATGTTCTGTTATATATACTAAAAATATTTTAAGTCAGTGCTTTTCAACTAGAGGTGATTTTTCCCTTCTTCTCCTAGGGGCACTTAGCAATTTCTGGAGACTTTGTTTGCTTGTCACAAGTGGGGAAGTGGGAGAGGTTGCTATTGGCATCTAGTATGTAAAGCCCAGGACAGCCCCCTAAAACAAAGAATTATCTGGCCCCAAAGATTAATAGTGTCAAAGCTGAGAAACCCTGCTCTAACAGATAAAATTATCAAAGATAAATTTTCCCAAGCTAAAGCAAGATTTGATTTCAAAATAATTCATCAAGGACCACCTAAAACAAACATGCATGTGAGTGTGCACATGCTCTCAACACTTAATAGAAGACAATGAAAGTTTTGAGGGGGAGAACTGCAAAGCAAGCTTTATATTGTATAAAAGCCACAAAGACATTCTTAAATAATAAAAAGCTCTGACCGTGTCCAACCCACACACCCTAATAACACTCTTTGAAATATAGCAGATGGAGATAAAGCAGAATAAAGAACTCAAGACGAGGACATCATGGTATTATAAACAGGTTGGTAGTGACCCCTAAATAATTATTATAAATAAGACCACAACACAAGGCAAAGAACAAATATTATTTACAAAGATATATACATAATACGAGCCTAAAACCCCAGATTAAATTAAATAAATCTAAGTGGAAGATGGAGGAAAAAAACATGTTGAATTCCTTGTTATAAAGTATAAAGGAGAACTAAGGCGCTATAATTTTGATGTTGATAATTAAAATTACCAGTATAATAAGACTTGGACATAAGCCATTCAAATCGCTCGAGAGGAGCAAATTGTGAAAACAAATATAAACCACATAGCAAAGCACAAAACAAAGGAATCATAAAAACGGAACACACACAGTAAGATGACATAAATCTTGGAACAAAAAGGAAGGGATAATTCTATTAATGGCAGGAGGAGATGAGGTCAGTGAAAACATCTTCATATTTCATAGAGAGAGATTAGACAGCAACTCTATAGAGTCCGGGCATAACAATATTGATGCAGAATGACTGTCAGAGGCTACATGTGAAAATCTGACACTTGCAAAGAGGTCAGCCCCCTGATGGCCAGAGTGGGCTCCAAGCACAAACTGTCATTGTATAGACTAAACTGTACCCCCACCCCCCAAAAAAAATTTAATATGTTGAAGTCCTAACCTAATGTGACAGTATTTGAGATGGGCTCCTTTGCAGAGGTAATTAGGGTTAGATGAGGTCAAGAGGGTGGGGTCTTCATGATGAGATCAGTGTCTTTATAAGAAGAGACACCAGAGGGTTGGCTTGCTCTCTACTATATGGGGACACAGCAAGAAGGTGGTCATCTGCAAGCCAGAAGAGAGCTCTCACCAGAACTCAAAGTGTTGGCACCCTGATCTCAGACTTTCAGCCTCCAAAACTGTAAGAAAATAAATTTCTGTTGTTTAAGCCACTGAGCCTGTAGTGTTTCGTTATGACTAATATAATCATCGAGAGCAGTGTTCCCTTCACTCAGGGCAATGAAGTTACTGTAAGGATGGAAATCTGTAGGTGGAAAAAGCAACAACTGTAAACTAAAAAGTCCTCTAAGTATTTTTTCAAATATGCAGTGATATATGCTGTTGTAATTAGTAAAAGACAATTTTATTGTTAATGTTACAAATTTTGAAGTAGCTTTACCATTATGCATTTTATCAATCAATTTTAGAGACAGTAATTATCACTCATGAAGCCCATAAAAAACTGACTTGAAAGTATTTGGATCCACTGACTTAGATTAGGGGGACCTCTTTTTAAAGTCAACTAAGTAGCACACATACCTAAGCTTCTAGTATTGAATTTCCTCAATTACAAGATACCATACATTGTAGAATGCAAGTGTCAATAACAGCTTTTCAAAAGAAAAATGAAAAGATGGAGAACAGAAAGAGGACATATCCACTTTAAGATGGCCTCAATTTTTTGAAATGTTCAAATAGTTTAAGTGCGTCTTTGACTCCATGGTATCATATTGAATTATCTTTAACTTACAAGTAAATTGAACAAAATCATTGCTCTAATTTCCAAATATTCTAAAAATTTGCCTTTTACACCCTTGAAAGACAGGGAAAGTCATCTGAATAACTCCAAGTTAAATCAATAATAGCTAAACTTCTGCTGGTTTGGAATGAATGACAAAAGTGGCGCTCAATAGAGCAAATCAGCCAATGATGACAGGAGCAATGAAATTAAGATGTACCTCAAGCAAACCGAGACATACAACAAAATTCATTTCAATAGCACATATATCCAAATATAATAAACACACTTTAGTTTTACATGTCATTTAGACAATATTTTCTCTATACCAGAATATTCTATTAATGAAAAGTATATAGCCAATTAATGGTAAATAATACACTTACCTTTACTACTCCTCCTGGAAATAATCTAATAAAAAGAAAATGTAAAGCTTATATTATTTTTTAAAAGTATTATAAACTATAATGTTAATACATTAATGCTGATATTTCTCTAACAGGCAGGATTTGACTTTAAATACAGTAAAAAAAAATTTAGAGAAGTCCTTCAATCATTAAAATCAGCATATCACCCTTAATCAAATGAATAATACATTGGTATGTAGGAAAATAAATCACCTCATTCTTCTGTAACATTGGATATATATATATATATATATATATAGATGTTTGTTTCTATTTCATATAATAGTCTAGTAATAAAATATGGGAGATTTTTTTAGTAAAATCTACATCTTATAAAAACACAAGTTTTAGAAACAACTCAAAGATTCCTGCAAATTACCAATGGTATCTGTTCAGTGAAGCATCCACCCCCATCCTTACCAGCGCTGTGTCAAAGAAGTCTTCTGTAACATTAACCAGGGATGTGTCTGAGGCTAGATCTTCATTGGTCAGAAATCCTATTGTTCTTTCAAACCAGGAAACCATGTACACAAGAGAAGAAACACTGATGGAAATCCCAGGACTACATAACTACTCCTTATTTGACACAATTTCACAAGATAATTCTTTCACTACAGCAAAATAATTTTAAAGACCTTTTCCCATTCCATCCTGTTTCTATCAGGCGTGACTCCAGGGCCTCCACCCAGAACACTCCAGAATGGAATCAATCAGACTGCTACAGAGTTCTGGCAATAAATAAGCAAGAATGGGAGCCTTGACCAGGAGCAATGCTAAAAAGCCATATGGAGGGGCTAGTGAGAAAAGGTTAAGACATAAATGAGCCTCCCAAAACAGGAGAAGTTATTGTGCTCTGGGCAGCTGTACAAGACAAGCTGTCAAAGGAGATACAGCATTTAGAACGTGCTCCAGAAATACATGTAGTACAGTAAAGCTTCCAGCAAATTGGAGATTTTTCTTTTCTATAGGAACATATATCCAAGTTTATATTAAGTTGCTAGGATTGGTATGATTTAAAAATAAACTTCTATAAACCCTCCTACAACAGTCATTCGATAAAGCAAAGGCCATCTTCGGACCAGTTTTGCTGAGACTGGTTACTCTTACGAAAAAAGAAAAAATCCTGCACACATAGTTAGAAATCATCACTTGAACATGAAGTTAGTAACATGAGTTTATGATGAACAACTCATAGGAGCAGGGCCTTGGAAAATATCCAGTTTGGAGCCAAGAACCCAAAGTACCCCAGCTGAAGACCATGAACAAACTAATCAGCTCTTACCTCCTAGCTGCATCTTAAGAAAACCTGGGGAGTTCTGAAATACCCTGCTGCCTCGGACCCCTGGCAGACACAGTAAACCAGAGCCTCTGGTGATGAGACCCAGGTGGTGCTTGTTAAAGCTCTCCAGATGATTCTAACTTACAGCAGGTTGAGAGCCACTATTGCGTTCCAAGTAATGTTTCTTTTATCTCAAATCAGACAAATATTTGCACTCGACTGAATCATCCACCTCCTGAAGCAAACTCTTATTAAAAATAGAACTACCCAGCTATTTCACTTCTGGATATTTATCCGAAGAAATCCAAAACACTACTTTGAAAAGATATATACAATCCTGTTTTCACTGTGGTGCTATTTACAATAGCCAAAATATGAAAGCAACTTAAGCACCCATCAATAGACAATTGGATAAAGAAGAGCTGGTACATATATATACAATAGAATATTACTCAGCCATAAAAAAAGGAAATCTTACCATTTGCAACAACATGGATGGACCTAGAGGGTATTATGCTAAGTGAAATAGGTCAGAGAAAGACAAATACCATATGATTTCACTTATATGTGGAGTCTAAGGAACAAAATAAATGAAATCAGACTTATAGACAACAGAGAAGAAACTGGTGATTGCCAGATGGGAGGGGGTTGGCAGGATGGGTGAAAAAGGTGAAGGGATTAAGAAGTACAAATTGGTAGTTACAAACAGTCACAGGAATATGAATTACAACAAAAAGAAGTCAATAATATTGTAATAACTATGTATAGTCCCAGGTGGGTAACAGACTAATCAGAGAGATCACTTCATAAATTATGTCTAACCCCCATGCTATACACCTGAAACTAATATAAAATAATATTGAATGTCAACTCTAATTGAAAAAATAAAAGCTTTCGGACTAGGAAATCACTCCTGAACTCATTTATATGTCATGTTCATATGTGGTATATCAGATACATCAGCTGCACTCACAGCTGTGTCTACCAGAAGCCAGACGAAATAGTTAGATGCAATAGCTACTACTTATTATGTATATGGTATAGAACAAGTTGCTTAATCTTTCTAGATTTTAATGTAGGACTAAATACATTCCTTTCTGTAGGAAATTCTTATTCTATGGAGAATAACATCCCAGCACAGTTTATGTTGACTAGTAACCACAATTGGTTTTAGAAGTACAGAATCTAGTATTCCATCCGCTTTGGTAATATCGATCTATTCTTGGCTAAAATCTACATGAAATAACAGCACATGTTTTAGGATGTGTCTAAATTATGGCTATGAAATTTCCATCACCAATTAGAATTCCCATGGAATATGAAAATTCTTATGATTTCAAAACTCCAGTGGAGATTTGATCTGACTTTAAATTTGAGGGAGGGTATTCTTAAATCTAAATAGGAAATTCAGGTTGAGGCAGCTCTCAACTCATCTCCCCCAAAAACCAGCTCAAGGTTCCAAGGTATTCTAGAGATGTCCTCTTCCATATCTTTCAAAACGTTATCTTCTCTCCCCTACTTCCTGTTATCTGCATGAGTTAAGTGTGTATCAGGGAATTGGGTGGGACTAAGTGCAAAATTAAATATATGGATTGTATAAACACCATCCTTAGATCCCCTTCACCACCACCTCCAGAGGACTTACTCATCCTAAATTCCTAAGTGAAATTCGATAATAAAACCGTGCTTACTGCACTGGCTTGTCAAGGGCAGAAGGGAATTGTATCTGACTCATTAACGTGCACTATCAAAGTGTCCTGTTTAGCACATATCTCAGGAAACATGCTGAACTCAATTTTTGATTGGATATGGGCAAGAAGCATTGTTACCAACTTCTCAAATTTGATTTCAAAGGAAGAGAAAAACCAGACTTAACTAGAAAGCTGAATCTACCCAAGTTCTTTAAGTCACCCAAAGCCATACAAAATTAAAACATGACACTTATCTTTGGGATCAATCCTTGCTGAATTAGCAAAGGCTCATCTTCTTTGAGGCCATCAATGAAGAATATCTGAATACATTTCAGCAATAGTGAAACACACGGAAATTCATTTTTATCCAGTGCCTAGGTATGAGACCACACTAAATTAAAAGCCTTACAATGAAATTTGTTAAGATCCTAATGGTTCTCATAAGAAAAAATATATTTTTGAATTTTCTTTTATAACTATATGACATGATGGATGTCAGCTAAACTTGTGGCAATCATTTCACAATATATGTAAGTCAAATGACTATGCAGTACACCTTAAACTTATACAGTGCTGTGTGTCAATTATTTTTCAATAAAAATAAAACTGAGGGGAGGAGCCTTACAAAGTATAATTACACACTGGTATTCTGGTCAGAAAACAAAACAGCTTACTTGCCTTATTTATTGATTTGTCAAGACGGTATAATACAAGATGATTATACTTTTGAGGAATGTGGCTCGCTCTCTGTTGAAAATATTCTTCTATTGTCTGAAATCCTTTACCATGAAAAGCATCAATAATAAGTCCTTGAAGCTGGAAAGTTGATAGTTTGAAAATTACTTTTTTTCCCAAAAAACATTTCATAGTAACATTTCTAACTATCATTATCAATAATTCAGTGTGGAAATAATCAAGGATAAATATGGAGAGTTATATCTTGAACAATAAATAATCTTATAGCCAATGACTGAGTTTGTTGGCTTCAGACAGTACAGGCATACCACAGGGATATTGTGGATTCAGTTTCAGACCACCAGTTAAGCAAGTGTCACAATAAAGCAAGTTGTAACCAACTTTTTTTTGCTGGTTGAAGGCATTGCCTTCAGTTTGTAAAAAACACAATACCTGTGAAGTGCAATAAAGGGAAGTACACTAAAACGAGCTATGCCTGTAGTTTGCAAGATGTGGTTCTTGAACCATCAGCAGCATGGGCATCACCTGGGGCTTGTTAGGAATCAGCAACTCTGGGGGTGTGTTTCTTCAGGTGGTTATCATGTATGCTAAAGTTTGAGAACCACTGACTTAAAGGAAACTGCATTTGAATTACAGAATGTCTGTGGGTAAAGAGGCTTTATCCTCAATAATGTTAGAAATTCTAAAACACTAAAAATCTCAACCTATAATCATTCATTAAGCGAAATGGATGATCATAAAAGAAGAAAATAAATCCAACTCTAATAACTACAGATAATGGAAGCTGATAAATACACAAATTGCCACAATGAATGAAACTGATCTCTTCTGCCTGAACATTGGCCAAAATATACTTCTAAGTATACATACTTGAATAACAGTTCCTTAAATATCTGTACTATAGAGACATTTTTATTTTTAAAAATGCAGTTGAATCCTATAAACTACGTTACAATATACAATATATTTTAATAAGGAGGCATTTTATTGTATACAGCCCAAAATTTCACTTATTCTTAGTACTGATTTAAATGAGGAGACAGCATTTGAAATTAAACACTTAAACAGAATATTTTCTTTTTTAAGTTACCACATATTGAAACTTATAATGCCAAATGTGTTAAGTGTTCTGCAGATGTTCTCATTTAATCCTCGCCACCACCCTGACAGGTTAGAATCTTTATCTGGGGATAATGATAGCAAGGCTGGGTAAAGTTAAGAACCTGCATGTGATCATCCAGCTAAGATTCACATTCAGATTCTCTGACTCAGAAGCTCAGCTTTCTGCCTGACACTCTGCCTGCTTTCTCTGCACTCGGAATAAATCCAAATCCTTTGCCTTGGTCTGCAGGGCTCTGCATGATTTATTCTGTCAACTTCCTCTGTGTGTCTTTCTTGCTAAGGAGTCCTAGAATAAGCCCTTGCCTCAGGGCCTCTGCATCTTGGCTTTTCAATGCCTAGACCACTTCTCTCCACCACTTTCCACCTGGCTCCTTGTCATCCCTCAGACCTCAGCTTCAGCATCACCTTTCCAGATAGGTCTTCTAGGATCTTAGCTGAAGCAAGCCAAGTGCCTCCTTCCACCCTCAATTATCCTCCATCACGGGACCCTGTTCTTTTTCTTCCTACTACTTTCCTTTGGTTAGTAACCTGTTTCTTAGGCTCACTGCCAGGCTGCAGGCTCCACAAGGGCACAGTATTGTTTTGTTCAAAATTGTCTACCTACACCTAGAATAGTTCCTGGCACGCGCGCGCACACATGCACGTACACACACACACACACACACACACACACACACACACACACACACACACACAGTATCTTCTTAACCACACACACACACACACAAAGCTTAGACTAGAATACTGATTAGAATAGTCAAGGGTAAAACTGACAAGACATGATGATAAATCAGGTGTGGGAGATTAGGGAAGGAGAGGAAGCAAAGAAGATTTCTCTGCCTCTGGCTTGAGCAACTGAAGAAACCATTGTGCTGATAGCCCAGGGAACATAGAACTAGAAAGAGTACACACAAAGAACACAAAATTAACTTTTCTTTACATAGAAAGCATCCTGGGCCATTCCACTCCCATCATCTTCCTTAACAGACTGCAAAGGACCTTCCTTTTCCTGTGTATAATAAAAAGATTTAACAATTTTTAAAGAAATGCATTTCAAGTTTTAAAAATAAAACAAAAGAAATAAAGGTTCATATTGTTTTCCTAAATACAAATTTTTTGTTTGCTCATACCCGATTGTAAGTCTAAGATATTACTTAAAAAACTTTATCCAACCTTCTCTAACACTATCACAAGAAGCAAAGCAAACATCATTGTGATAATCATATGAAAAATGTCAATTTAAACTCTGTAGTGGCAGTTACAAAATAAAAAGAAATGCTTTGAATTAATGAAGCTTTTAGAACAAGAGCTTGTAAAATAAAGTTTTAAAAGGTGCATTTCAAGCCTGGTCATGAGTTTAAATTTCATGTTTCTGACTTACATGAATTTTAAATGTTACTCTAGGACTTATACTGAAACTTCAAGGATTATATATCAACCGCTACCACAAGAGAATTTACAAAACACTTAGCAGTGAATGTTTACACATTTTCTTCAAGAAGTAATCCCTGGGTCTACATCCTAGTTTCTACAACACATTGTGCTGTGTTAAATAACGGCATTTCATCTGCTCATTTCATCCCAACAATTAATTTAATCAATTTAACTGAAAAGTATAATATACGAAAAAAAGTCTTTAATTTCTAAGGTTTTTTTAATTTTAGTTTTCAATTACAGTTGACATTCAATATTATTTGTTTCAGGTGTACAGCATAATGGTTAGACATTTATGATACTCCCATTAGTCTAGTACCACCTGAAACCATATATAGTTATTATAATATTATTAACTATATTACCTATGCTGTATAAAGAAGTTTTTTTTTAATCTAGCTTGGGCTAACAGTCCTACCTCTATACGTAGTTGGCCAAAATCCTTAAACGCATGCATATTTTACAATATTATTGTCATTATTTATAATATGAAAAATAGGATGAATTAAAAAACCTAGACTCAGACTTTTTTTTTTCCCGCCAGCAGTGTATTCAATTAAATGAATGCTGAAAAGTAGGAGAATTGGTGCCAATCCGCACCCCACCCTGGGTCACGGTGTTTTAAGAATTATCATTGGCAGGGGGCGACTGAATGAAGTCCCAGCACTTGGAACCACCGATCTGTGGCCTGGATGGGTGAATGTCATTGCACTATATATGCAGCAAGTGGGGAAACGGTATGGGTTAACATCCCAAGCAACTTGGAAAAAACCGACTTATTGCCTTTCAAACGTTAACTCCCCAGTTTCTTCTTCCCAGGGAGCTTTATCAGCAAGGGACCAGAGGTTTCTCTCCTGCCTCTTAGTCTCTTGAAGGCTGACAGTAAACTCCAAGCAAACCTAACGCGGTGGAAGCGCTCAAAGGGCCCCTGAAGGGCTAGTCCCCTGGCGGCGGGGCATGGTAGCCCCGCGCCAGGTCTCTGGGCGAACACGAGAGGCTCTGCTTCCAGCGCCCGTTGGCGCGCCTCCCTTGAACCGCGCAGAGAAGGCCCAGGTGAAACGAGAACCTGGGTCGTCCCAAAGTCACTCACCGCGTGCATCTTGAGGGCCCTGGCCGGACACCGCGCACCCACGCGCCGCGCGCGCCACGCCAACTACGCCGCGCTCAGCTTCCCGAGACCCGGGCGGGCCGGGAAGCCCTGCGCGGAAGGGCCCGGATCAACCGCGGCTCTTGGATTCCAGTTTTTGCCAGGAAGTCTAATTGATGAACCCGCCCCTGAAATCTACTAGAATCCAGTATTTGACCCGCAAGATATGCTTACAAGTAACTAGCAGTCTTGGTCAGGCCACCTGGGCACACGCACACACACTTTAAGATTACTCAAAGGATACGAACGGCGTCATTTAAACATTCTTTACGGGCAAACTTCTGCATTGATAAGCGTTCCCTTTTCGGAAGCGGGCAGTTTTCTCTCCACCTTTAACAGCTGGTTGAGCTGTTTTCGGTACTTTAATATTGATGTAGACTAAAGCTGAACTTTTCCCACAGCAACCAGATTTGTACCTGAAACTGAGAGTATATTCCTGATATCACAGAAGAAGGTATGTTTTTTTAATACTTTGGTGTACTCAGTCAAAACCAAAACCAAAAAAAAAAAGCAAATAGTTTGCTCGTTTTCTACCCATTTCCTCTAGTCCAACAAGAATGTTTACAAACGGCCAGGTTTAGGACAGTAGGTGGTTTGTTATGTGAACAAGGTGGCAAAAGTAAGTGGGACTAGTTCTATTAAAAATACATATATATATCCCCTATAACTCAAACATTGCTTCTGTAAAAATCAACTTGTATTATAACTAGATGCTATGGGTATTTCGCGTCATGATGTTTACAGAAGACATATGTTTACATCCAAGAAAACAATATTACCAGAATCTCAGCTAGTCAGCCCAGGACTGAGCACGCAGCTCCAGTCCATTCAAAATGATACTTATTTCAAAGCTCGGAATAGCTATTTCCTGGCAAATATGATGTAAACATACTTACATTAATTTACCTATTTTAATTTCAGCCTAGCAAATTCAAAGCTTTCTTCCCTGCTTTTGAATTAATGGGCTTTTACGATTTCAAAATAGCAAGGAAGAACTAAGTGTTCTGAATCAGTGCAAATATTACTGCAGGAAAGAATTGAAGAATAATTGAACAATTAACAAAATATCGATTTATAAAATAATCGAAATATAGTTTAAATGCATTTTATTTTAGAGACTATAATAATATAATATAAACAATATAATATAGTAACATAATTAAGTTATTAATATTAGATTTTAAAACTTTATCATTCATTATTTTCAGGCATTTGGGGGAAAATATGTCCTTCCAAACTCCATGGTTGCTGCTGCATTGACATTTTCAGGAGAAATTAAAAATAATATAGTAGACAACACCACCATTTATTTTTATTTTGTTATATTTTCGCTTTGATTCGTTTCTTTTGCTAACGTGTTTTACACAAAAATTTTTAGGGCGATTTGGAATATATATATATATTTTAATTCTTCTCAAACTAAATATGGTGTAAACTCTATTACATTTCTTTGGACACCAGAATCCATTTAGAGAAAAATATATGATTAATTGACTTGGTTTTAACATAAAAATTGTATTTATTTATGTTTTTGAAGGGTAAAGACTCCCTAGGAATATTATTGAGACAAGAAATATTCTAACGATGTTTACGAGACCAGAAATTAATTTCTATGCATTCTCAGAGGTGATTTTAAATCATTTTTGAAGTTATATTAAAAACATTTTAAAGTATACATTGTGTTAAACTATCACAACAAAATACCTATTTATTAAAAATGACGTTTGGAAGACAAAACAAACAACATAAAAAGCAACCGAATGACAGGAGTTCCAGGAACCTTCTGCAGTTGGTTAACTATGAAAATCTGTGGGTTAAGACTAGACACTCTTCTTCACTCTTCTTCCTTGATTCCCAGACCTTTGTCGCTATTATGTGAGAGTGATTTTAATCAGACATCCTGACCTATAAGACCTTCCAAGAGATGAGAAATTCGGGGCAGGGAGGCTGGGGGATGAAAAGGTGCTTTTTTTCTGCCTAGACCTTTCCCCTCTGCTTGGGAGGAGAATTCCCAGCTTAAAACTAGAGAAAGAAGAAAATTCGGGGAACTGCCCCAAGCTGTGATTTCCCCTCGGGAGTTCTCTGCTGATCAGCTGCTGATGGCAGGAGGCTCTGAAAAGCACTTCACTATTAGATTAAATTGTTTTAATTTTTATTTTTCAATTATTATTGACATTGAATATTATTTTATATTAGTTTTAGGTGTACATCGTAGTGGTTGGATATTTATATACCTTAGGAAGTGATCGCCTTGATAAATCTAGTAGCCACCCAGCACCATACTTAGTTATTACAATATTATTAACTATATTCTCTGTCCTGTACTTTATATCCTTGTGTCTATTTTGTAACTATCAATATGTACTTATTAATCCCTTCACCTTTTTCACCCAGTCCCCCAAACCTCCTCCCATCTGCAACTTTTCTAACAAGCCTGACCAAGGAGGTAAGAGGAGCGGCAGCGTAGATGGTTTTTCAGCACAGGTTGTGGTTTTAAATATCATCTGCTTTTTCCAAAGCCTTTCGCCAAAGGAAAAGACTAATCCTGCAAGAGGTCCTGGCCTGGGCTCCTTCCCAACTTGGTCCCATTTGGCATCAGTCCAGCAGCACCTCCTTGCCAGCTCCGCGATGCCAAGGTCTAGGTCTCTCCAGCCCTGGGGTATGGAGGGATGTAGATTTGGAGCATCCTCCTCTAGCAGTGGTCCGCCTCCACCGGCCGGATCTGCGACTAGGGCTGGGAACCTAAGCGTGCCGCCTGTAGAGCAAAAGCGCAGGGAATAAATTACGGAAACACCTCTTCTCCGGCCGCGCTGGCGTAGTTAATGAGCGATTTAAGTCACTTCAATCGATTTTTTTGGACGCCTCCAAATACTGGAATCACTCCAATGAGGCAGATAAACAAATGAAGAAGGCTCGGTCTCAGCGCTGGGGAGTCCACTGTGTCTTTACGCTCCTTCGCCAGGCTAGCACAGTCTCCAGAAAGTATCCTCAGATAAAATGAGGGTAAATGCGATTTTGTCGTGGTATTACTAATAAAGACGATTTTTAAAAGAGTGGTGTGAGATAGATGGCGACTGAGAATTGACTGAGCCCTAATCCGTCTTGGAAGCAGGTAAGGAAACTAACGGTCAGAGGGAGCCCAAGTGAGAGAGAACGCTGTGGGTTCTGCGCGAGCTCCTGCGCCCGCGGGCCGCAGGGCTCACTTCCTCCCTCAACCTCAGTTACGCCTAGCTAATCTTCCCCCACCTTGCCCAGTTCACTTTCTAAGACTCTCTTCCCACTGGGCGGGATCTCTCCGCAGCCCCTAGGAGCATAGGTGCACAGGGACCTTTGGCACTCCCTCGGACGTCACCGCCCGCCTTCCA